TTTGGTTAGAGGATGTGCCCTCAAGTGAACCTCTAGCAGAGTCTTAGTATCAGTGACTTTTCAAAAAGCATTTTCAAAAATTCTTTTAAAAAAGGAGCTATAAACAGTTTTTTTCTGGCATCCATTTTTTTTAAAGCAAAATCTACACCTGGTAAAATATTTTAAATTTCTTTAATGAAATAAGTAATTTTTTTCAAGCATTTTAATTGATAAAAACTACAGTAGATTTTTAAGAGTATCGTAACTTTTACCTCTATTTTACCCTCAGTAAATTTTACACATACCAGCGCACCCCTTTAGGTCTCTCCAAAAAATAAATTTTAACCTTTTTTTCAAGAGATTTCTTTCAAGATTTTCCAGGTTCTCTGAAAATTTCTTTTTTTAACAATCGTTGCTCTCTAGTTAGAGATTCAATCCAAAAATCTAGCACGGGATCGAGTTGAACCCAGTGGCAAGCATATCGACGGTGAAACCACCAGACCACGTAACTCGGTTTGCAACGTTGTAGACTTCCCGTCATACTTTATTTTTTAAATGAAAAACCACTCTACGTCAGTTCTTGAAAACTTCCGAGATTTTTCCTCTTCGTGCAGAGAAAACTTGGTAAAAATTTCACGAAATGATATTGATCCGGTACTCTTTCAAAAAATAGAATGTGAGCGGAAATTTTTTTACACAGCGAACGAGATACGTGGCTATGTAGCCTCACTGTCTATATACTCGCTGCAAAGAGCTTCCACCGTTCTGCCGTGCTGAGGAAAAACGCCGTATGAATCTTCGAGAGTTGCCAAATTTCCTTCGATAAAATAATTATTTTTGAGGAGAGTCGTGGATGTTTTTCCTTGAAATTTTTAGGAACTTTAGGTGGAATTGCGAACAAAATCATTTGAAAAATTGGAAGGAAAATATTCATGAGTTTACCAGGAAATTCGTGTTTTATGAGAGGAAATTTGGCAACGCCTGAAGGCTCTTACGGCGTTCTTCCTTAGCACGGCAGCGGCGTTGCTTACGCGATGTACCTATCGTATCGGACAGACGATCGGAAGAGTGATTCACCGGGATCATTCGACTTTGCCCATATTTAGGAGTAAATAGCCAAGTGAGTCCGTCGCTCGTAAAACATCGTCCTGACCTCCACAACAAATTCTGATGCCTTTACCGCTGAACCGACTTCTTCCTTATTTGAATCGGCCGCGAGAGCAATAGCCTTTCCCCCCCTCGCCTCGCGGAACGATGGGTTCATCGCAATAATCGCAGAAACCGCCATTTTTCGACTAATATCTCCGCTTGACCCGTTAAGGGAATTTTCTCATTTGCGAACTTTATCTTATCGAATAGGTATTCTATTGTCACAAGTCCAAAAGTATGAAGGTTGTTACTTTCACTCGCTACATTGTCGGGTTTATCGGTCAGGAGCAATTCGACGCATAAATGATAAAACCTAGCGCTGCGGTGCTAACGAAAAACGCCGTATGAACATTAAAATGTTGCCGAATTTCTTGCCTTTCAAAACTTGGGCCTTTTATCGGTGTAAAAGTTAACTACCGTACTGAGGCAAAACGCCGTATGAGCCTTCAAGCGTTGCCAAATTCCCTTTGACAAGTACCTAATTTTCAAGAAAATTTGTACATGTTTTTCTTCCAATTTCTCAGATAATTTTGGTCGTAAGTTGATCTAAAAAGTCTGCAAATTTCAAGAAAAAATATTGATAATTTTCCTCAATAATAAACATTTTATCGGAGGAAACTTGGCAACTCTCGAATGCTCATACTGCGTTCTTCCTTAGCACGGCAGGAAACCAAACGGCTTGCTACCTTTTCCTAGGGATACCAAAGAATGCGCTCCGGTGAAAATACAAATTCATATTTTTCGGCACATCTTGACAAAAATTGCTTCACCAAACATTTGTCATCCGTTGTCCATGGGCTGTTTTATTTTTATTTCTTTAAAATTTTTTCACAATTTTTTTTTTTCTAGGGAGGAGGGTTTTTATGAACCCTTCTTGTTGAATTTTCCATAGTATAGCCTCTGATAAAAAGAGGCTCTTCTCAGCTGTATATGAGCGTAGCTAGAAGAAAATCGTGGGCAGGGGCCCATTTGCCCTTCACATAGGTGCATGAAGGCTATTTCCATTTAAATCTTCCGTCACATTCTTACGGCGCAATGATACAACTATTTGAACTCTCCGGAATGCGCGAGGTATCACGCCGCATTTGAAGGCGTTTTCAAAACAGCCAAGTTCCGGTACCCGGATTATCGTTTTGCATAGTTCATATTATTTTGTTATATTCCGTGCCACTTGCTTATTTTTAATCCTCGTAGAAAAACCACCCATTTGTAAATACAATTCTAGCTGAAGCGCACTTCAGCTGTGCATTCACGACTGCAAAAATTTCAGAGGAAATCGACAAGCCCAGCGTGCATGAAGGATAGATGTAATGGTATTCAGTCCCTATATACATACACAAGGACCCTGGCCTCTTGAGATCCCTCTAGCTAAACCCTTGTATGGGTGGATATCTATGCATCAAAACATGAAATTGTTGCGTTAAAAGTTTACTTTAAATTGTTATTGTCCTGTTCGTAATATTTTATTTTATTTTCTATTGTTCCAGTCGGAAAACCTCTAGAACTGCTTTGACGCCAACAAAACATGAGCTTTCTCCGCCTCCTAACTTACCGCACCAATCGGAATTGCAGAAGAGTAGCAGTGAAATCCATTTTGAATCCCGAAGTTCTATTTTCTGTGATGAAGTAAAAAGCAACCAAGCAACTTTTAGTGATAAGTTACCTTTGAATACACCGTCAAGGGATAATTCCGACTACCAATCGTCCACTATTCCTCACCGGATTGATGCAGAAATGTGTTCACCTTTTAGTTCATTAGATGAAAATGTACCTCCTGCAAGTTCAGGATGGAGTATATTTGATAACCAACTTGAGGAAAGTAAAAAACTCACCTTGAGGAGCACCAAAAGGCTGTCAAATGACTTTCCAGTTTTAAACCAATCCTCAATATGCAATCGTGAAAACAATGCTTTTTCAGAAAGCGGTAAAATGAATGTTCCTATTACTTTAAACGCTTATTCTAGTGGTAAAGATACTTCTTTTGCTCATAATTTTTTAAATGCTCAAACAAATTCTTCAGCTGTACAGTCAGATGTTTTTCATAATGCTCAATTATTCGATTCTAGTTTAATAAAAAGGAGCAATAAACCCAGTAAACTAATGCAAGAAATTCACTTCAATAGTGCTCCCTCTTCGCCTGTGAAGCACCCATCCTCAATTCTGAAAAAGAAATCAATTGATGAAACAGCTCTTCCCACCTTGAATTTTCACAGTTCACCAGCCTCAATTCTAAAACGGAAAGTATCGCATGATGAAAGTTCCTCTTCTGCATCCCTCTCCGTTGCCAGTGCTTGTATGCCATCCTCGAGCTCTGCCATTTTGGAACTCTCCCGTAGGCAAGGAATCCTCAAAAAAAATTGTAGTTTTGATGAGGCTGAATTACTCAAAAGACGGAGCTGTTCTCCGGAATTAGTAATAAGTGCACCATTCACCGAATTTAAGTCAATTTTAAAGAACCAACACCGTTCCTCTCTAGAAAATTTATCACTAGATGACACAGTACCAGAGCCTGAGTTGCATCCCATATTAAAGAAATCTGCCAGGCAAGAATCAACTGAAAGCACAATATCGCCTGAACCTCATAGTATTTTAAAACGGAAGACATCTGTTCATAATGTATCGCCATCTCATGTTGCTTTGCTGGACAGTGCGGAAAATAGTGACTTCAGTGCTAGTGAGAGTGTTAAACCCATCTTGAAGAAAAAATCTAGTTCTGAAGAGAATGAATCAACTGCAAGTACTGGTTTATTGTCATATGAAATTCTGAAGCCAATTTTAAAAAAGAAATCTATCACCGATATTGAACCTGAAGATGAGAATAGACCAGTCAAACCAATTCTGAAGTCCATTCGTAAATCTCCAGAATTTGATGAAAAAGTTTTGCAGAAGAGACTATCTTTAGAGGTAGATGTTAAACCAATTTTAAAACCCTCAAGAGTTGGAAGTCTCGACAATGAAGACAGTAGTAGTGATGATGGAGTCGTGGAAGAGAAAAATGTTGCAAATTTTTTGAGGTCAATCAGTAAAATGTCTTTGAAAAAGCACAAAAATCGAACCCCTACACAAACCAGGCATTCTCTTGACTTATCTTACATCATGAGCCAACGCACAAGAGATTCAACTTCTCCAGAAAATTCTGAACCAGTAAGGCCATTGTCTGTAGCAGAACGGATCATAAATTTAGAAAATTTTATCGCCCAGGAGACATCATCTAGTGAAAATTTATCACCCTGCAGCCCCAGAACCTCCATTTCCAAGCCAGCAAGATTACGTAAAAGATTCTCAACTCAACCTATCACTTATCAAGAGCTGAGCTCTACGCGTAGGTAAGCCCATCGTCCTGTGTTTATTCATCATTTTTGTATTTTCTATTTTTTCTGAGCATCTTGACCTCAGTACCTAAGAAACTTCCACGGCTCTATTGGTATTCAATTTAAAAACGTGTAAAGGATCTTTTGCAAGCTAGGACATGATCATATCTTAGCTTGCAAATGAGTTTTTACACAGTATTAAATTAAATTTCTAAGTGTCTTGTGCGGTCCATCTTTCCTCTTGTTATTCAATAGGTATCTTTATTTTTGTGGTTTTAGGAAAAAAGAATCATATTTTCTCGCTTATTCCAGTGTGTAAATGGGTGTGAGTGGGTGTTTGAATAAGAAATCTAGAATATATATTTCCATCTTGCCATATTATATCCATTTATTACCACATTAAGACTGCTGAACAAATTAAATTTCCTCCGATAACTAAAAAATTAAATAACTGATTCGAAAAAAGCTGAGTGAAGGTGACTTGGTTATTAGGTGAATGTACCTATTGAATTCTAAAATGGAAACATATTTACCTATGTGAGCCGTGAGATAAATGAATAATTGATGCTCTAATAGCAACAACTTTCTGAAAGATTGTAAAAAAACGTAAATTTTAAGAGAAGGTAAATATCATACCAAAAAAAAGCTTTTAAAATTTATGACTGAGGAGACCTTTTTTCTGCATATTTTTAAGTAAACAAAAAAATATAAATTAAATCACATGTGAATTTTTATTTATTGATAATAACTTAGATAGGCATAGCCTCTCTTAATTTACTCTAAAATATGTTAGACAATCTCCAAATTTTTTACGAAAAGCTGAAAAGATTTTCTCAAGTAAAAATCTACCATAATTTATAACAGAGGTATTCTGAGTTCATAGAAAAACGAAAAAGATTAGTTTAGAGGTCTGAAAAATGTATGAAATTAAATAACTTTTTACCGAGAAACCTGCAGAAGTCTTTGCCTATGTGTTTATATCATCTTTTTGTAAAACTTACCTCGGCCTAAAATTTACGTTTTTTCTACAACCAGTGTTAAGAATCACAGCACTCACAGCTAGGTGGACGATAAAAATAATATCAGTATCGACGTGAAATTAATTTTCTTTAATATCAATCTTACCCTTTGTAGATATGTCCACGATTATTTGGACCGCATTTAACAGATCGGAACCAAGCCACATCAGCTATTGCCAAATTTAACTGGGAAATTTAATTTATTACGAGAGAGCGTTTGTGCTTATTCTTTTGAAAATTTTCAGGGACTCGCTTTGTAGTATGGAGGAAATTCGCTGAAATTTGCACATAAATCCGCACAACCGTTTTCATGTAAAAAATGAAATTGCCCAATTAAATTTGGCAATAGCTGATGTGGCTTGGTTCCTTTCTGTTTAACGCGTTCCATTTGTGACTTAAAGGAAAGCGAGTTGTTAATAAAAACTCAGGTTTCTTCTTGACTAATGCTCATCTATTTTTCTACCCATTTTGTCAGAAGGGTTGTTACTCTTAGGCAACTGAACAAGTTTCTTGGAGAAGCGACCTCCTTTCTAGAAATTGAGTTTTTGATAGAATATTAGTCTTTGAAGATGGATGCATTTTACTATGGAGCAATTGTACCCAAATTGCTCTTAATGTGTCTTTTTATAGTACTTAAATATCTGCTGCAGTGGAAAAAAAGCGTAAGTTCAGAGTCACCTCACACAGAGCAAGGTCCTTCCTAATGCTAAAAACCATGAGTAAGGGCACCAAGTATGATTTTCAATATTGTCATCGAACTTGCAAGCTGTTCGACTGTCGTAATACTGCTAGAAATGACAATACGTTTGTGGGAGAAAGGCGTATCCATCAAAATATTTATTTTTTATTTTTTAAATTTATATATTTGTGACTATGGTATTCGCACCAATGGTGTGTAGAACATTTGTTACTTTTTCGAACAGGAGAATGAAGAATTGTTGAAGAAATCAAATTTTTTTTTTCATATTTCCATTAAAACTAGACTCCTGGCGGTTATGTCTTTTTTCAAGTAAGCTATTCACTGAGGTAAAATTTCACTTTCAAATGTGAGGAGTGTGTGTTTATGTGGATGAAGTTGTAAAGTTTATTGATACTTACGAATATAACTTTTCTGGCCTTGTGCCCTATATACTTCATCTGTGCCAAGTTTTATTTTTGACTTTCATGTTTAATTATTTAGTGTGTCTCCTTCAACTCTACAGCTGATAGTTTCTTGTGACGGACCAGACTGTCTGGATTTATTTACTGTGCTTTATCAATATTTTGTGACTTTTCGTTTCCACTGAACCAAATTAAGTCTAATTTTTCTTCAGAGCTTCATTTTTCATGTACAAAGTACGGCAAAAGTTAATGATTCAATTTTACTCCCTCATGTGTCAGTTACTGTCAGAAACTTTTATCAAACCTTGTGTCTAGTAGTATTTTACCCATTTAAAATTTAGTAAGTTGACTGTCAATCCTTCTAAAAATAGCTTCACTGTGTTTGTTTTAGGTCAAGTGATTCAACCGAGAAACTGAACTTCAAACCCAATAATAACTGTGAGAGCTGTGAACAGTTGCAGAATGAAGTAATTACTGTAGACAATTTTTCTGAGGTTAATTCCCATTATGAATCTGTGAACTCCATTTTATCAGCAATAGAATCTCCGAATCATTTGAATAAGGAATCTGAGTCCGACTCGGGGAAAGTATCATCTGATGACTTCGAAGGGAAAACGGTGAGCCGCAGTAATAGTGTTTCATCGAAGACATCATTTTTCAATGATATTTTTACCAAAGTTGAACGAGAATTGGAAGAGCTTCAGGCTCCAAGGAAAGCTTTCGGTGAGTACCTACCGCATTGAAAACCATAAAATGTAGACTCAAAGCAAGATGCCCGAGTGAGTTGTGAAGCTCTGATCATATAAATCTCATTTTTCCCCTCCAAATCGAACCAAGGTTGGCACAATCTTACCAAAAATTTGTATGCATTCTTTTTTCATTGGGATTTTGCCACATTTGGAGTTATGACGCACCAGTAAAGGATGTCTCCTGTTCATTCAGAGATTTATCCATCAGGGTTGATTGGTCACTTTGAAAAATAGTCTGTAAATTAAATTATTTGCAAGACATTTTGCTCGCGTGGTGGCAAACGCAGTGCTAATTTGATAAATACTCTATTTCACCACTCAGAGTTGCTACAAATTTTCAAGCTAGAATTCTTGTGAGGTGATTGAATTGCTGGAAAAATAAGATGCATATCAATTTTTTGGGGGAAGACTGTGCCACAAGAAAATATGCCAAAATTTGTGTCAGCAGACTTTATAGATTAGTAGCATCAAGCATTGATTCCATGCCTGTCGTTCAAAATCTGCAAAAAAAGGATTTGCAATTTGTCATCATTGCGCATGTGGCAATGTTGAATGTGGAAATAAGGTTGTAAAATTCTTGAGGGAAACCTTGCTAACCACGTGAATAATAATTCTCTAACTTCTGGCTGGATGCGCTTGTACTTCAAATACCCACCAAATTGTTGTGGAACAATTTATCAGCAAAAGGCATTAATCGAGATTTAGAACCTCAGGAAATTTAAATAATTCATTAAGCTTTTTCATAAGTTGAAAAAACCTTTCAAAGAATGTGTTTGACTCTACCTGTTTTCTTAAAATGCAAAAGCGATTGAGAAAATCATCATTTCCAAGAAATAAAATTCTCGGTTTGTAAATTTTTAAAAAAATTCAAATCCATATTTGAACCTCAAGAAATGCTCTGATTGAGTTCCATTTTGGGGAAAAACTATCTTTTCAGTTGAATTCATATATTTTTTGTACCTGCCATGCAATGTCATCATTTGTTCGTGAATAATGAAGTACAAAGTAAAATTGATAATCAAAAATGGTAAAACTCAATAAATTAGAATGCTCTAATTGTAACCTCGGAAGAATAAACTCTTGGTGTGTTTCCGCTGAACGCTTATCTTTTTTATTCTAGAAGAAAATTAAGCTGCAAACGATTCCTAAAACATATTCTTGACCCACAAGAAATTGATTTTACAATGGTGAGTACATGGTAAAAACCTTCATTTGTTATAATTTTTACCTTTCGATGCAGGTGCTGTAAGGTCTCACAAACGCTACGCAAGAAGTGCTGGAGACCGCCATATCACACAACCAGTAACAGTTGATGAACTTGAGAAAGCAAAGCGACTAAATTGCGAAAAAAGCAAATATTTCAGCCGAGCTAGAAGTGGCTCATCTAATACTGTTGTTAAACCCAAGCCAGGTAAAATTTTAGTTTCTCCTCTGCCTTAGTTTATTATATTAGAATTGGATTGTGAAGGTAGTCTAGCAACACGTTGTATCCTGTAGTTAGTTTGATAGCAGTTGATCAGATACAATTGACCATGTGCACTTTTAAACCAGTCTCAAAAACCTTTTACAACTTCCTTATCCTTCCATATTCTCAATTCATCTCATCTGAAATTTTTTGACCATTTAAGAACCCTGCATCAAAAGAAAGAAGAGATTTTTGTGGAGCTCAACTCAGATCATTTGTCGAACAACAAGTTTTTTTCCTGTAGCAAATCTGAACCACGTTGATTTTTTTTCTTTCTCTCTCTTCCTCTCTCTCTTTCTCGAAAGTGAAAAGTTTGAATATCCAGATTCTAATGTTAACTAAAAACGCTAATTTCTCACTTGTGAGTTGGTTTGGACACTACTTTTTCTTGATCTCATTGTGAATAAAATATGGTTGAGATCCCTTAGTTTTAGACTGAAGAATTTAGCCATCCACAAGTTAAAACCACTGATTCTTATTAGTTCTTTCTTTTTATTTCAGCAGTAGAATTTTTAGAAGCATGCTTATATTATTTTTCTTTCCTTCTGTTCTATATTATTTTTCCTTGGAACTGCTCTTCCAACTCAGTAGAATTAGCCGTTTATCAGTCAGAAGAAGGATTTTATGATGCCGGCAATGACGACGACGATGAAGATGATGATGATCCGAATGATCCGTCCAAGCTTAGTCTCGCAGAGAGAGTTAAGTTGTTCAGTGAAAAAATGATCCATGCTCGATTACCTCCCACTTCCGATCCTCCCAGAAGCAAGCGATCCAATCGTTTTAAAACTCAACCTGTTACATCATTTGAAGTCGTCAGCGCTCAAAAGAGTATTCCAATCATGAATCAAGAGTCTTCAGCTGTTTTAGGTGTGAAAGATTTATCTTATAATTTTGTTTATTATTTTCTTATATTGCATGCCCTTGTTTGATTTCAAAAAATTCTCTTTTTTCAATCAATACCTTCCGTTCCTATCTACTTTCTGTTTTGTGCAAACTAAAATATCATTTTTGTACAAAAAGTATGCATAATATGGACCGAGTTTATCAGGAAGGAACCAACCCAAATTTTCGAAAAATTTAAGTCAAGAATATTTTTGAGTTTCACTGGTCGCATATTTTCTCATGCCAAAAGCTGAAAGTCGAAAAAAAGAAATTAGTTTTCGAAAAGATGGGTTAAAGTTTCTTTTCTACATTGAGCCTTACGCAGGAATGAAACTTTAAACCTGCTTTTCTCAGTTTCACCATAATGTGGGTTGGTTCCTTTCCAATGAACTCGGTCTGTATGGTATGTATGTAAATAAGCTTCTAAACGCTACAGAATATCGAAATGTCATTGGTTAGGTATCAATATCAAAAACTTTGAGTCCTACTATTGTTTTCTCTCTTTCATAACTCAAGTAGGTATTCTGTTTGCAAAGTTTGTCTCGAAAGTACTGCTCACGGAAAAATGTAATTAATTAAATTTTAAGTATGTAATATCTTGCCATTCTTATTTTGCTTCATGAATTTTTATTTCGTTATTGCTATGCATGATGAAGCAAGGTTTGACTGTTTTCTCTCCCATTTGAAGCTTTTCTTCAACTTGATGTTAAGATAAGGATGTGAGGGAAGGAGGGAGATGTGAAAACACCCATGTTTCGGTCTTTTCTAATTTTTTATGCGCAAATAATCTGATAAAAATACTGACCCTATGAAACATTATAAATTGAATTTAGTACCAATATAATCTTCTAAGCATGAATTTCTTCATTATATTTCATGCGTGTGATACTTTAAATAGGTGGGCCTTGGTTGCACTCGTTCGCTTTTGTCTTTTAAACTCCTTTCCTTTAACAACATCTACTTCAATGGAGAAATCAATAATCGGTCGCTATGTATCTAACTTGATTATTATTTGAGGTATGAAAGATCAATGACCCTCCTATCAATATGCCCTCCAAGGTTGCTCAGAAAAAGGCTTATCACCTGCATTTTTTCATTAATGTTTGTAATATGGCAAACTGATCGCAAAATAAAAGTAAATAAGAATTCAAACGTCCTCTACTCATGCATTTGCTATTTTTTCCAGCATTAGGTTTTTTATTTTCCTTGCTTTTATATACCTCACATGTAATTTTCATGTTGCGTGCATCATAAAAAAGTGCTTTAAAAGTGCTAGATTGTAAGAAACAATTTCATGCTTTTGAAAGCGTTGGTTTTTTTTTTTTGAAAGGTGCTCTGAAAGTACTTGAATTTTATTCCTTACTAGTTGTCGGTCGAAAACGCCTTTGGAACTTTGCCTGTTATTGATGGTAAGTCTTACAAAGACTGAGGATTGCAGCATTGGTACAAAATTTCAGCACCATCTGGTTTTCAAGCTTCCGTCTTTCTCACGAAAAAGTTTAATACATCTCCCTTTACTTGTTTAGTGATAGATTTTTTCTTTTTTTTCAGTCGCTGGTTTGATGAAAAATTTGAAGAATAAGCTTGGCACAGAACCAATCACTGTGAAAGACAACGTGGATGCCACCGGCAAAGCACCCTCCCCCATTCTAAAACAAAATAGCTTTAAGTACTCAAAAAGATCAGCATTTGCTGACACAAGAAAACCCCCCACTGAACATATCTCAAATGCCAAAACTGATGCACCGATGGTGAATCCAGAGGATGCTAAAGCAATTAAAACGAGCACATCCAATACCGCAGTTTCAAAAGGGAAGATTGCACTTAAACCAGAAATCAAGTCAATTCCAAAAGAAGACAGTAGTCAACTCGTTCGGAAAATAGCAATTGAAGCTAGAAATAAACTGAACAGACGATTAATTGATGATCTGGCAACGGATACTACAACCTCTGATGGGGATACATCTTCTTCAGGCGGCAGAGAAATTCAAAGCATCCTTAAAGGTCAAGCCACCGTGAAACAACCCTTACCTGCTGTCTCCAAGAGCTCCTCTGAAAGGTAAGAAAATCTTTATTTTTATTGTCTCCTCATTCATTCCTCTTTTACATTTTTCAATTTCATTTTTATCTTGATTATTTATGAATTTGCTCTCTTTCCCCTCTGATTTTTAATCGGGACATGCAAAACCTGCTATTGTCCATTTTTCCAGTCTTATGTTTTTTTGAGTTCATAATACTTTATGGAGTTGGCAGCAACCACGAAAGTGGCATTAAAACTCGTCTTCGGGTCTTTTTAATCCCAAAACGAGTCCTCTCATTACTTTTATGGTTGTATCAACTCTTTAAAAGTATTATCAACTCAAAGAAACTTAAGACTCTAAAAATGGATATTAGCGGTTTTCGCACGTCCTAATTGAATTACTGCAGTTAATTAGACACGTTAATAACTCGTCCTAAAACCTTCACAACTTTATATATTAATTTTAATTTAAAATTATATTTAGCAAATAATACTATTACATGAAGATGTGACCTCGGATCAATACAAAAGTCTCATCCTCGAAATGATTTTATTTTTCAAGACAAGCTCCATGTGTCCTTGAATTCGTTATTTGCTTTGCATATTTCTTTCCCCACGGACAACTGCATGGGAAGTAAAAAACTTTTTCACCTTTGAACCACTGTTCCTATCAGAGGAAGTCTTGTCAGCACAATTTTTTAGCTCTTCTCCAATTATTTATTTATAAGTACTCTCTTATCACACGAGGTTAAAATCTTTTAGCTCTTTTTTGCTTTAATGAAAATAATTGCAGTATGGGTACGTTAATCTGCCTTGACTTGAGTCAACAGGAATGGTGTAGCTGCAAATCTATGGTTTACAGAGAAAACCGGAAAATAAATAAGAGAATGAAAATCTCATTAACATATGCTGGACCAGATTTGCAATAAATTAAATGTGAACAGTAACATCGACACACTAGTAAATGTCGACGGCGTAAGTCCTCAAACACACATCTCGTTTGCGGTGTCTGAAAATCTACTCCTCTATGCTATTTTTTAAAGGAGAGCAAATCAACATCATTCCTTGAAGATTATGCAGAATTTTCTTTGCTCAGAGAAGAAAAATCACGGCAGTTTTAGAGAATTGCCGTTGAATAGTTTTCCATTTAAAAAATAAAGTATGACGGGAAGTCTGCGACATCGCTAACAGAGTCATGTGATTGCCGACTTATACCATCGATAAATGTTTCTCCAAGTGGCCGGAGATATCTCTCCCTTTTGGAGATTTTTTAAACCCTGGGCATTTTCAAATTTCTGAAAGAAATATGTTGATAGCTGCTTTAACTTCCCGCGATCTTTAAATGGAAAGCTTTGCGACTTGAATAACACCCCCCCCCCCCAGATCGTTCTGATCGTTACTGGTGAAAGAGTGACAACTACTGTTCTTGCTGCCCTTGTATTTCCAGTTTCCTTGTGCAAGTTCGCTGGTAGATATTTCGGCAACATATTTTTTTGTATAGTTTGAAACTGTTTCGTTTTCTCACGATATTTTCCGATTCCGTTCTTCTCTCCTATTGTAAAGCCGAAAAGCACACTCTAAGAGAGGAAGCATATGGTGTATTATTTTGGTAAAGTGGAATGAGTGCATGATTATCTTTTATCCAGTGAGTCGGAATTTTGGAAAAATCCTGAGTCTGCTTTGTCCAACGATGAAGTAGGTAATGATTACTCACCCTAAGCTCTTGCGCACACTGAAATGAAAGAATTCCAATGTTTTCGGTGAAACCGCCTCCTCACGCAAGGCGCATGATACAACTATTCGAACTTCCCTGTAGCACCAATGGCATAACTTACGAAATGAAGGGGCTTGCGATTTGTCTCCGTATTTTCGTTAGTCTACCAAGGCGCAAGTCGGTCGGTTCGAATTTACAATATTCGAAACAGTTGGAAAGGAAAATAAAGAGAATAATGAAAGCGTGAAAGAGAAAAGAATAAATTTAAAAAAAAATCGAAGTGAATGGATTTGAAAGTTCTACTATTGACATTTACTTACTTTTCCGGTAACATATTAAATTGGTGAAGCATTTTGATGTAACGTTCTGCGGTTTTCGCTCGTAAGTATTCAAGAATTGGATACGACCACCTGTTATTGAAGCTTCAACTTACGATTTTATCTTTCCCTTCTAAAAGGTGTGAACAGAAATAGAAAAATTTCCCCTAGTAAAGGGAAACTTTCGAGTTTAAGTCCCTTTCATTTCCTCTGACACTTGTAATAATAATTTTTATTTGTTATTCCCGTTTACAATACTTTATCCATTTTCCCTCCGCTATTTTTCTAAATAGAGTATTTTGAGCTAAAAACCAGAATCCTCAAGTCACACACAAAATAAATAAAAAAAAGAGAAGAAAACAAGCGAAATCGCTAGTCCCTTCATTTCGGCAGTTATGCTGTTTACGAGACAAGAAAATCGATATATTTGTATCGCGCACTGTGACCGCGAAGCATTTAGCATTCAAGACGAAAGTTGACCGAATTGAAGATTTTTTCATCCGTGCCTGAACAAATCATCTGAGCATTGGTATTTTCATATCGAAAAAAACTCGAGTTCGGACAATGTATTTTTACCTCGCAATACTTCGCACTGGAAAAAAGAAACATATTAGATCTAGAGTCGAGAATCTTAAAAACATCGACAAGAAAAAATACTCTTGATTCAATCGGATTTTTGCTTAAATCAAGAACCAAGCCTCTTAATTTGAGCGGATTTCCTTTTGATTCAAGCAAAAATCTGATTGAATCAAGAGTGCTTTTTCTTGTCAATGTTTTCAAGAGTCTGAACTCTAGATCCAATGTGTTTTTTTTTTCCAGTGCGCGATTAATTTTACCCAAAATGATTAATATCTCAATTTTCCAAAGATCTCATTAAATGTATTCGTGTACCACCTTCGTTTGCTCGCGCAACCGCGGGGAAGTTTGGAGCTCCTCTTCAGTGGCGGGGCGTGCTTTGCGATGTACTGATTGATCAGCCATTTAAACCTATGGAAAAAGATCGATGAACACCTTGATAATCGACTCTTTAACATGGGTTTAAATGGCATAACACTCCATACATCGCAATTCACGCCACGCCACTGCTCCTCTTGTCATTCAAGGCTTGTCATCGAATCCAGTTTTGAAATCGGTAACTGATGCCCAGGTTTTTAGGCTTCCCCAATGCAACACTAAAAGTTAGTGAAAGAGTTCCACTCGAGCGAGTGAGGCTGAGGCCATCCGAAATTGGACCCTTCTCCTCTCTGGATTCTTGAGCCCGGACTTAGCGCCCACGTTGGGAAAATTAACCCGTCCGAGAAAAATTTCAAGTCAATGCAGACGCTGACTTCAGCTATGGTCTCGGTTTACGCCTCCTTACCCTGACGATGGGTTCCACGCTCTGTTTCCGAATGGCCGATGGAAGCACTCCGATTTTTTAATGCTAGGGAAAAGCTTTCGTGCTAAGGAAAAACGTCGTATGAACCTTCAGGCGTTGCCCAATTTTCTTTGATAAAACACGAATTCCCTGGTAAACTTATGAGTATTTTTCTTCCAATTTTTCAGAGAATTTTGTTAGTATTTTGGTCTTAAATTTCTGAAAATGTCAAGGAAAAATATCCATAACCTCCCTAAATAATAAACATTTTATGAGAAGACATTTGGCAACTCTCGATTGCTCATACCGCGTTCTTCCCTCATGGCAGTATACGAGGTAGATTTCCTGCGTAAGAGCCTGTACCTTTGAGGACTACCGAAAATGCGGACAAAAATCGCATGCCCCTTCATTTCGTGAGTTATGCCATTGGTGCGACGGGGAAATGCGTTTATTTGTATCGCGCGCCGCGCTTTAAGTGTGCAAGTCCTACCGTAGATTTTAGTGTATATCTCATTTTTATTATGGACTTTCGTCGAGAAAAAATGGTTTCATCAAATGTACTAAAGTATATTCTATGAATTAAAAGAAAGTACTTATCTTCTACTTGACCAAAATAATAGACGTACGAACTTCCGTATTCTTTCTGAAGAAAGTATCGGCCTGAATACTGCATGTGATCGGTGACAATTGAATCGAAAATATGATAAAACCTCATCATAATCCATCAAAAAAGGCCTTACTAAGACTTAGATCATAACGACTGTGTAACTCCACAAGGCCACAACCACGCATCTCGTTTGCGGTATATGTATTTAAAAATCTGCGCTACTATTTTATTTTTGTAAAATAGAACAAATCTGCATCACTCCTTGAAGTTTTCGCAGCATTTTCTTCGCATGGAGAAGAATAACCATGGTAGTTTTTAAGAATTTCCATTAAGTAGTTAAGTCTACAACGTCGCAAACCGCGTATCTGACGCGACGGTGGCCGTCAATAATCTGAGTAATGAATTTTTATAGAAAAATAAGAGAAGCGGAGGGATAGAAAGAAAAACTATTCGAGATCAGCACAGCTCACCCACGCATGCCGTGCATTTTTTTTATGACGGACATTCCGGAATTGTCCTCTCGTATAATCTTTCTTTTGAATTTTTTTCTTCCCCTCAACCAACCTTTTTTTCCTCCCCAAGACTGTTTTTCTTCTTAGTGCCGTCTGATTACGGGAATGGGGATCATGCTCTCTCGTGAATTCAAGACTACCTCTATTTTTTAAAGTACCTCTGTAGCTATCCCTAGAACGAAGAAAAACAAGAACCACCGCTGCTCGCACCGAAATTCTGTACACCTCAATGTCGCGATCGGTCAGCGGTGTAAGTTAGAGTACCTGTATAGCGAGAGTATAGACAGATGTGAAACTCCGAAAATCCATCAGGTCTTCATCGATGCCTCCGCGAATAAAGTTAGGGCCCAGAAATGCAGCCAACCTATGAATTTCAATTATCCAGAGCGATTTATTAATACAATTATTACGAACCATCGACCATCGTTTATAAAGCTTGTATTTGACTTAGTTTTTGCATAAATTTACTCATTTTTGTGGAAGAACGCTCATTTATGTACCTTCTTAGCCATCTTCGTCAGAATTGGAATCTACAGACTGGCAGTGAAATTTTGTGCGTTAGAAGTTGGTTAGAAGGGTGGCTGCACTTTTGGGTCCTAAGCCCTCCATGAAGCGATCCGTCCATACTCTCGCTATACAGGTACTCTAGTGTAAGTAGCCACCGCTGTTTACACATCTCACAAGTTGACCATCCATCTATGACGAGCTCCATTTGTCTCTCCCAGCGAGCTCCCTCATCCAGGCGCAGCGGCAGTACTGACCGTCGTGCTACGGAAAAGAGCAGTAAACGCAGTATAAGATGAGCCGCAAAACGCCTAGGAGCATGCCTAACCGTGGCTCATACAGAAATGTACTTACTGCTGCACACGGCAGAGTATTCGCGTTCCCTCGACGGTAAAGCGACCGCAGCACCTCTAGTGAGCGCACTTGGTACCAACCTTCCTGTGGCGCTAAAGTCTTCGTCCTCGCTTGCCCATCTGTTCCCATCGGTTCTCTAGCTTGGCTCGAGGTTTAGTTTGTTTACAATCGCGGGGCCACACCGACGTGCCGCCGAATAGCGCCTTTTAGTGTTTTAGTACCTAGTTGCCTTTCCATTGTTTACCCTAATTTTGAGGGTCATCGACTTTTTTTGTCGCATTGTTCGCACTTGGTCGTGCTTCATCATTTTCCCATTTCATTTTCTGTCTTTTTTTTAAAAAAGAAAGAAAGAAAACTGGCTAGGTCGCGAGTGTTTCGTGTGTTGTGACACCTGTTTTTGGATTAACAACGTGCTTTTTTGGACTCTTGAGGGTTGCTTCTGCTAGAAGTAAGTTAAAGGCTTTTTGTTTTAAGATTCGACTGTTTTATTGATTGAACCGTGAACCTTGCGGGAATTTTGCCGCGGTGTTTCCCAGGCGGCTGTTTATGCTGATTCGGTCCAAAACAGTTAGGTTGTTTTTTCGGTCGGTGTATCTCCCGAGTTTTGAAATCGTCCGATATTTACGGAGGGAAAACTTTTTCTTGAAAAAAAAAATTATTTTTTCTAATCAAGGAATTTTGACCTTTTATTAAACGTAAAAGCATGAGCAAACTTTTTTTGAGAAACTTCGCACTCTCTCGTAACTTTTTAAAGTCGAACATTGGGTTTTCTTATCATTGTGAAGAAAGTAATAGCTTGTCGAAAATACATGGAGTAGAGGTGATGTCAAGTGTTTTTAATTCATAATACTTTCGAAAAAGTACCTGGGAAGAACAGCCGATTGAATGCAGAAATCACGACTTGCCATAGCGTTTTTTTTTTTTTTTTTTTTTTTTTTTTTTTTTTTACCGCAAATTTTAACACTCAGACTGTGTTCGCTAGCAAATTCGTGTGGGTTAAGGTGATCCTCCGAGAACTCGACCATTTCAGTGTGAAATGTGTATCTTTGCAGAATCGCCTAAATAAAATCCATAGTAAACGTGAAAAAGTTAGGGAATTTTGTCTACCCTAAGAAGTCGGGGAACGTTCTTGACATCTCAGTATTTTTTGTCGCACTCACACGCTGTGCCGTTAAGAATTAGAACTTCTGCCTTAAAGTTCTCAAATTTTTGGATTTTTTAGCCTCAAGAGACTGAGCTGTTTTTCTTTCTTTCTTTCTCTCTTTCCCCCTCACGTTTTTATAAGTTGCCCACTTTATAAAGAAATCCGAAAACGTTTTTTTCCCTACTCCTTACCCTCTCTTAAAAATTTACTTCTGAATACTCATCCTGTAAAACTTTTTGAATTTATGCGCTCCACTAATCTCAAAAGTTAGCCTTTCCCCTCAACCCTTTTGTATTTTTACTGATGTAACCTTAATTTCCATGTAAATTTATTACTATTACTGCCTTCTTTAGAGGTGTAAATGGCCTTAGATGCTAAAGCACCGCTTTAAAATAAAATTATTTTACTACTACTACTTTCTTTCTCTTCTTTTTTTTTGGGGGGGGGGGGGGGTAAAATACACTCTTATGACCAATCATGCGCAAGAAAACGTTGAAAATTCACAATAAAGTTAGATAACTTAATGTCCAAAAATCCATAGGAAAGTCATGAAACAAGGATAGGGAATTATAAAATTCCAGAAAACTTGTCACCCGGGACAGATAAAAAGAGATCCATCCGATAAGGAAGTCTCCTAAGTACGTACAACAAGCGTGCCGATCAATCTCCGAGGATGCAACTATATTAACCCGTAGGATCCGCTTTTGCCCATCCGTCGAATTGAAGGCGCAGCACGTTCCGTCGCTCACTCGCAACCTTGCACCGTCTTTCAATCAGTCTACTCCGGAAAAATTAAAGCTTGCCTGGAATTATCCGATTAGACTCATCGAAAACGACTAGAGATATCTAGCTCTTCTAGGAGCATAGGGACCTGACTCATCTAATAGCTTCTTATGGAATTGCCTTAAATTCTCGGTAATCACTGTATCTAGATTTCTGAAGGGAGAGAAGTCTCGTTGTGCTGTTTCCTTATCCGCATCATGGTCACCATATGCAATGTGTATCCAACGTAATTTTGCATAAATTCGCCAAGGTTTTTATAGCGCAGAAAATGAACAGATGGAAGATTGAAGGGTCAAATTTTATCTGATGATTTGGACGGCTCGGCTGGAGACACCCAACATCTGCCTTGCTCGTTTTGCGGCACGCTGTTTCATTCCGCAATGAAAGCTCGCTATATTTTGGACTGAGGAAGTCAGGCCACTTGAAGTTTTCGGCTGGAAGTACGGCATTGATTGCTGTCTCTGAGCGCTACCTTGAACTAGAGCTCTTCTTCGCCTTAGGAAAATATCTCTACGTTTTTCAATCGTTAAGAACAATTGATCGTCATTTGCTTCCTACCTAGAAACGAACATGAAAATTTAAAGACTTCGTACAAACGGTTTCCGACGACACAGTTACCGCAGTTTCTTCCTCCTCGTTTTTTTTTATTTCTTCTTCTTAATGATCTGAACTGTTCTCGCCTAATGATACCGACGAACAAAGTGTCGAGTCATTGAAGGAGTTAAACGATGTTTCTGTGATTTCAAGCAAGCCATTTTTAAAGTCGAGAATTCACGTGTAAGCTTATGATATACATTAGATGGATTCTCAGACAGCGTAAGATTGCACTTCCACAAGGCATGTTTCTTCATCAAAATTTCAAGCAGAAGATGTTGGAAATATCCGCAAATTAATGCATTAGGAGGTTATGAATGTTTTTTGTTTACATCAGAATCAGTCAAATCAAACTTCCTGCTCTCAGAAAAAACCAAGATCAATGTTAGTCCATGATAGGGCCCAGAAAACGATACTATCAATTTTGGGCAAATAATGTCTGTTTGGTTTAGCACAGTTATCTCCTTTTTTTAACCCTTGTAATCTTGCCAAGTAAAATCCTTCCAAGTTCTTCCATCTTGGATTAGATTAGATTAGATTTAATTCCTGGAGTACAAAGCTCAAAACAACGAAATAACTCAAAGGAGTTTCTCCTCCATCTTAAAACATACTGAAAATTTAGTGTTCAATTTGACTCCATTAGAATTTGTCTTTTTGTGAGCGGGGATCTTGAGTTAACATACACAAAAAACGTTTTCATCTAACTCATTATTAAAAATCGGAAATAATTTTTAATCCATTTTTTACGTGAAATTTTAATGAGGTTACCCCTTCATTTATGCCCAATCCGTACCATGTCCATGTCCGTAGTTGAATGGTTCATCGAACTTCAAAATCAAAGTTCGTCGCGAAAGGCTCTCACTCTTCGGAGATGTTTTTGACGTCTTGCTTGACCCCATCTTAAAAAGGCAACAAGAAAGTTTGCAAGATTAATGTCCCCCCCCCCCNCCCAAGTATATGTTAAATCCCCTAAACCCCGAGTTTCCGCCACAGTCGAAAATACCCAATGAGAAGTAAGAAAGTTGAGAGTTGTCTCTAAGTAAGAAAAATACAGTCAAAACCTAATACTTAAACTAATCTGTCGGATAGGCGTTACCCACGGTGAAGGGAAAGCTTTCACGCTAACGTTTCATTTTCCTCCCGTGTCCGGTTTTCAGTCTATCTATTTGTCATCGACAAGGGACTGACAATGAACGGAAAATCGACTCATCATTAAACTTGATATCGGCGACGTGGAACTTTGATGGGGAGGGGCATCCGGCCGCTGGCATTCGGAACATCGGTCGTGAAGACGTCCGCCTAGCAGGGTTGATGGTGGCGTGCCGGGAAGCGACCCCCCTTCCCCCATCTTCCAGCCCCCCATCCCCCATCCCCCGTCCCCCTCCCGTCTGCGTTTCATAATAATTAATCGTACCAAGATTCCGGTCTTCTTCTTTAACCCCGTTTTGGTCTTGGAAACCACTCCAGTTTTTCTCGCCCATCACTCTTCCACGTTGTCAACTCTCCGAGCTGAGGAAAAACAGCGTATCATACTGCCGTGTTAAGGAAAAACGCCGTATGAACCTACAGGCGTTGCCAAATTTCCTTCGATAAAGGACGAATTCTCTAGAAAACTTACGAATATTTTCTTTCCAATTTTTCAGGTAATTTTGCTCGTAATTTGACCTAAAGCTCCTGAAAATGTCAAGGAAAAATCTTCATAACTATCCTCAAGAATGAACATTTTATCGAAGGAAATTTGGCAACTCTCGAATGTTCATACGGCGTTCTTCCTTAGCACGGCAGCATACGTTGCCGTATTTTCTTCAATGTAGAACGAATTTTCCGGGAAACGTGTGAATATTTTCTTCTCAGTTTTTCGGAGAATTTCATTCGCAATTAGACTCAAAGGATCGGAAAATTTGAGGGAATAATGTGCATAGCTCAGAAGTAAATCTTTTATCTCGAGAAATTTGGCGACATTTGTCGGCTCATACGGCGTTCTTCATCAGCACGACGCGGCAGAGAAGCTACGAATCGTGGATTATTTTCTATCGATATTTTTCCACTTGAACTTGAGCTCTTTGGTGACAAACTCCTAAATTTCAAATTAGCTCCAAAGGGCACGAAAAATCTCCTTTATCGGATATTTTTTTTTTTAGAACTCTTAGACAGATGTTGCTCCATCATTTCAGCATTCCAGAAAATTTTTACTCTTCCTCCGCAATAAAACCCGTAGTTTTCCTCCTTTCCTGTAAATCTTTTGTAAACTTTCACCCTTCTACGAGAAATTATTTACATAACTCAAGTTATTTTCCATTATTTAAGTCTTAAAATTAGAAAAAAATATCGCGCACTAAACGAGGCGTAACGATTCCGTCCGTTTAGTGTCTTAACTTTTACTCTTCATTTTTTCCGCCCAACCCCTTCTTATCTACATATTCATAAAAAAATTCTCGCGTGATTCAAGTTTTTGCATCTTTTTTTTAGGGCTTAGATTATTCAGAACACGGTCCGCCAGCCGAAAATAAAATTTCCCCAGCGAATCGTTCGTCCGAAACTCACCGGGGCGAAATAGAAATATCCACAGGTGCATGCACATTGTACAGCGTGCGTGCAGACCGGAATATTTTATGATGTTGATAGGTTGCGATTTATGACTTTCAGTTCGTAAACCACACAGCATCGACGCGTTAACTGCGTGCGACGGCGGTAGCACGCAACGCTTGCATTTTACGAGTTATCTCAATTATTCGACTCCGCATTTTGAAATCGATTCACATTATTCATCGTCAATTTTTAATATCAAACCAGCAATTCATCATTTTATTTAATTTTTCGTTCCTCCATTTTTAATCTAAATTTGGTTTACAAATCATCAAGTTCCAATACCAAACCAGTACAAATAAGATTTTATTTATCACGAGTTTCATTAATTGATCCATTAA